ATCAGTCCAGAGTACTGTCTGGACACGAAGGTTTCAACCTGGTCTCTGAGCTCAGATACGTCGCCTGCAGCGGACGTTGCCGCCAGCAGGTCATCTGAGATGGAGAGGTGGGGAGCGTCAGCTTCCCTCTGCACCCTCCCGCGAGGAGTGCGCGGCCTCTGCGAGGCAGCACGCGGGCTCGACCTTCTCTCGTCGCATGGGCCTGTGGCCCCGCGACGGTTGCGCAAGGACGAGCTGCGGCTAGGGCCGTGTGTGTGTGTGGTGTCTCAGGGGATGATACCTGGGGGTGCTGCGTCTGCGGCTGCGCCGCCACTGGTCTACTGAGTTCCTCGAAGGTGGCGACGTGCTCCGCTACAGGAACGGTCGCAGGGCTAGTCGTGCCAGCACCTGTGGCCCATCGGCGGTTAGCGCGAAAGCGCCCTGGAGTATCAGAACCAGCGGGGCTTGCGCCCGACGCAGTTGGGATTGCTCCCGACGGAGGAGGAGATGGAGGAGCGAAGGTAGGCGTGTGAAATTCTCGACTGCCTGCTCCTACTCCTTCTCCTGTCCCCCCGCGGGCGGCGCGGCGGTGAAGTTCAGCAGCTAGCCGCGCCTCGGGTCCGTCGGAGTTGGGGGGGGGGGGGGCACCTGGGGCACCTGCACGGTCCACATTAAGGCCCTCCAACTCATCACCGAGCCGTCGCGCCGTCGGAGAGCTCGTATGCGAGGCCCCGATGGGCCCCTTACGACGCATTCGCCGCTTGGGTTCCGTCGAGGCCGCGTGCGAGATACGCGGGGTTCGATGAACTGCGAGCTTTAAAGGGCTGATAACCTGTGCACGGGGTTAGAGCACAAAGGCACAGAACCCCTGATCCGTTGGCAGAGGAAAGGAGGGAAAGATGGATATCTTTTCCTCCTGCACGATTAAAGCTGATCGATCTATTCCAATACCTGAGCCCAAACGGCCAGGCGCAGGAGAGGTGAGGATAAGGAGTATATATGAGAGTATTATACGGGTTCTATTCACAGACGAATGCAATGATCTTCTTTCATGGGCCATCCCCCCTGCTCTCTCTCAGACGAAGACTTCCAGCCAGCACACTTAGCTGACTGCGGCAATATGCAACACATTCCTGTCTTGGCGTCGCTGTCGAGCTCTCCTGGGAAGCGAGGGCGACAGTGCGCTTTGGACGACAGCGCAAGAATAATGCTCGAACTCTGGAAATGACTGCTAACTTAGAAAAGGATAGCACCTTCGATTCGCACTCGCCCCAGCGATCATTAAGTTCGGGCTCGCCGCCGGCATCCCCCGACCAACCATGTCTCGGCCCCCCGACCAACTATGTCTCGGCCCCTCGATAATCAACTCCCAGGGGTTGAAAGGGGGACGTGTTATTATCCGGGGTGTTCGGTTATGCCTTCGTGCTCCGACCCCGCCTCGCCAGCGAACGTGACAGACGGTAAGCGCTGTCTCGTTCCCGCTTTGCGTGATTTTATTCGATCGCTGTCTCGTTCCCGAAGGCCTTCTTGGAGCGTTTACAGCCGCTTGCTGCGCGGCGCCAACCGAGACAGGCTTTGGCGGCGGAGGTGCACGGGTAAGGTCTGGAGCAAGAATAGCATCGGAACTGTCTCTGCCCTTGCCTTTGCCTCGCCCCCCCTTGCCTCTGCCCTTTCCCTCGGCCGCCCTGAACGCCAGCAGCAATGTTTAAACCCACTTCCAGTCTTGTAGCATCGCACACACGACACGTCGCACGTTCTTGGAAGGCGGCCGTCGCACACGAGGTACATGACCAAGACTGTGAAATATGCTCTGAATGGTGAGCTGCTAATCGACGTCGTGATTATACGACGTCCGATGTGGACACCCTCGCGACGGCTCTAGCTGCAGCCCGAGCTGCCCCAGCACGTAGATGCCAAGCTGGCTCAGCCTAAGCTCGATGTCATTCAGTAATGCTCACCCCCTTGGAAGAATGGAAATATTGGAATTACCGTAGACCTGTCTGCGTTCGCGGCCTGCCTCTATCACTGTGGGCTAGCGCGCTGGCTCTGGACAAAGCACAGTGCCCGAAAGCGGATGATGGAACAGTGGATGAGCGAAAGAAACACGCGCCCCCGCCTCGGCGCCTCGGAGGCTGACCCAGACGGGGATTGAAGGGCGCCCCTCGCACACTCTGCCTGGAGCCTAGGAGGAGGAAGCGGAGGAAGACAGGTAGGAGGCGGAGAACCGGCGAAGTGGAGGAAGGGGAGTCGCCAGAGCGGGAAGAGAAGGCGGGGGAGAGGGGTAGAGGAGGAGACGGAAGAGCAGAGGGAGAAGGGAATGGAAGAGCACGAGTTACAAGAGGAGTGGGGAGGAAGCTGAATAACAAGAGGGAGTGGAGGCGAAATCCACCGACAGCGTCGGCGTGAGTGATTCCCATGGGCCGCCCGGGGCTCTCCAAGCTCGCCAACGCGAGGTGAATCGACCAAGGTCGTAATCGAGTCGAAGGGAAGCCCCCCCCCTTGGATCCATCCTCCGCGGGGGGGGGGGGGGCGGTGCCCCGGGGGAAGCGGAGGGCGGGGGGGGGGCGGAGGAGTGCGGTCCAGGAGGGGTCCCGAGGAGGGGCCCAGGGGGAGGTACACCCCCCTGCCCCAAACCCCACCCTCTGGAGAGACTCGGGCGATCATGGGGCCAGGTTGGTCATCTTTAAAACTACTGCTGGCGGGCTTCACGGCCGTGCTCGGGGAGATCACCATGCAGCTCCCTGCGTAGCAGTCGAGGGCCACCCGGTCCTGGAGGGCATCCACGAGAATCACGAAGGAGAAGAAGAGGAGCCAGTAGAGGAAGAAAGCAACAAAGAAATAGACGAGGGCGGGGTAGCCGAAGAAGAGGCGCGCCACGTCGGCGCCGAAGTGGTATTATATGAAGAAGCCGCCCCTCGCGACAACCATGAGCACGAAGATGACACTAGAGAAAGGCACTCGACGCAAAAGCCGGCCGCCCCGACAACCATGAGCACGAAGATGATATTTTTAAGGGCACTCAAATTTGAAGCCGGCCGCCCCGACAACCATGAGCGGAAGATGATACTATAGAGGGGGTGCTCTATGTCGAAGCCGAGAGCCCCGACAACCATGAGCACGAAAATGTGACTGGCCTGCACGGAGAACTTCGTGAATTACGACGCACAGGAGACGCGCCCGAGCCTGGGCCCGCAGCGGGGCCGGAGCCCCCGGCGGGGCCGAAGCCCCCGGGCGCGCCCCCTGGCCCCGAAGGGCGGTCAGAGGGAGGGGGCGCGCCAGCCACGCGCGGAGCTCCATCTGCACCACCTGGCCCAGCGGCCGCTCTCATCAGCCCTGTCGCTGCCGCCCCTGGCGGCCTGCATCGCCATCACCGTCTCCGCGGCGCCTGCCGCGGTTGCCGCCCTTGCCCCCCCCCTTGCCGCCGCCCTTGGCCGCGCCCGCCTGCGCGCCAGCCTCCTGCAGCGCGCCCTGGAGGCGGTTCACCCGGGGGCCGTCGATCGACCTCTGAGGCGCCACCTTGACGCTCCTGTAGAACACGCCCAGGCTCGAGATGACGAGCATCGCGTCGTAGAACGCCTGCGCGGCTGCCGGCGCCACGCGCAACGTCCACGCCCACGGGCGCTCCTCCTCCATCAGCGGCCCCTGGTGCTTCGGAGCGAAGCGGCGCACGTTGCGGTCGATGTCCTGGGACACCATACTCGCGAGAGCCTTCAGCGCCCTCAGCGCCGACTGGAACTCCTGCGCGGCTGCGTCGGGGGGGGCGCCTCCGCCGGCGGCGTGCCCGGAGCTGCCGGCTCTGGGGGCTCTTCCGGCACGGCCGTCTCGCGGTCCGCCGCCTTACACACGCGGAGCCGCAGCTGCGTGACGACCCGGGCGAAGGCCAGGCTGCGCAGGCTCACTCCCGTCGGGTGCCCGCCGCCGCCCTCGGGAACGGCCGCCTTCCACACCTTGCGGTCCTCCTGTAGCAGCTGCTTCACCTCGTGGCTGTACACCAGCACCGCCAGCGAGTGCATGTCCTCCAGTTCCTGCAGCTGACGGTCGTGCCGGATCGCCAGCAGGCACAGCGCGCTCACCACGCTGAGCTGCTGCCGCTGCGCGCCTCCTCCGGCTGCCGCCGCCGGCGCCGCCGGCGCCTGGGAGTGGATCTGCTGCAAAATGCCCTGCATTACCCTGTGCCGCGAGCAACTGGCGAACGTGGGACACCCGAGCGGCCGTCTGAGCCTCTGTGAACAAAGAAATGCAGCAGCGTGGAGGCAGATTGGCTCGTGTGGCTCGCTGAGTACAAGATGATGTGTGAACCCTGCGAGCATTAGACGATTTGAAAGGGGGTCCCACACTGCACACAATGCAACGGCCAAGACGCAACTTCTTCTGGAGAGTGGGCAAGAACGCACCTCCGAAGACTGAGAGCGCGCCACAACTCAAAGGGCATCTGGGAACACATCGGCTCATGAGAATGTAACTGCGCCTGGGTAAGACCACAGAAACGGCACTTCCTATCCCGGTCTCGTCGTCCATCGGTTCGGGGAGGCATCTGTGGACCGCGCCCCACGAGTACATCTGGCACCCAATCAGCACCACGATCCAGATCCCGATGCCCAAGAAGTCCCTCTGCTCGTCCCCCTCCTCGTCCTCCTCGTGCGTGGGGTCCCTGGGGTTCTCGTTGAGGCCCTCCCTGGTGTCGCCCTCCTCCTTGGGGTTCTTCTCGTGGTCCTCCTCCTCGTCCTCCTTCCTCTTGAACCACAGCACGGTCAGCAGCACGGCCTCCGCGCCCAGCGCCACGACCACGCCCTCGACCACGACCTGGACGGAGGGCTCGGACTGCTGGGGCGTCACCAGTATCTCGACGAGCGGCACAATAAAAGCGGAGATGCTGCTGCAGGTTCCGCCGCTGGACGAGTGTCTGGCAGAGCTCGCGCGGAATCTTCTCGACCTGCCACGCCGAGGCATGGCGCTTGGGCGCTGGAGCCGGCATCACAGGGGCTTGCAGCACTTCGCTAAGGTCGTCTGGGCGCGTCTGCCGGCTCGACGGTGGGCGCGCTGCTAGCGCCGCCGCCGGGGACTGCTTGCCCCGCAGCCGCCGTCGAACGGGTGCTGCTGGCGGCAGCAGAGGCGCAGGGATGTCTGCCGCAGCCTGCGCGTCCCGGGCGGCGTGGCGGACAGCATGGCAGTCGGACTCCTCCTTCACCACCGCCTGCTCCTCCCACTTGGACACGAGCTCGCGCCATCGATCCCGCCGCTGAGCCACGGCGAGCCAGCCCTCAGCGCGCTCCTCCTCAGTTGCGAAGGCCAGCAGCTCCTGCAGCAGCGAATGGCACTGCTTGCTGCGTATAGGTGTCTGCCCTCCGGCTCCAGGACGCCGAACGCCACCCTCTGCTCGATCCGCGAGGCCGGGTAGCGAGCCAGATGCCCCAAGTAGCCCAGTTTCCTCTTGCCCAATAGGCGAGGGATGGACGGCACGCCAGCACGTTTCCGCAAGTCCGCCATCGTGAAGCGGCCCTTCATGTCTCGAATGCGGAAATGCTCGCTGAGGGTCAGGCCACGCACACACCTGTCCACGAAGCGCTGGAGCACGGCGCCTCCCTGTCGAGGAACGGCCTGGTCTCGGACGCGTACAACAGGGAGGCCACGACCGTCGTGCAGAAGACGCGCCCCTTGTCTCTCTGTGTGAGGCCCAAGCGCGGCAGCCTCCGATAGACCTGGTACCGCAGCTTCCGAGCAGCCTTGAGACGTCTGCCCAAATCGTATGATCCTGAACCATCGGCCGATAACCAGGCCCCCAGCAGCTCAACGTGCTCATCGTATGGCGCCCTGAATGGCGTCTGACGTTTCTGAGTGTGACGCCGTCGTGGCCATGGTGCCTCCTGGACGGGCGAATCGAGGCGGTGTCGGAGGCGAAGGTGGTGCCACTTGTCGGGGTGGACATACTCTCGCCAATCCGCGAGGACCTTGGCAGTCGCCTGGCAGCGCTCCCTCACAGAGCCTTCCCTGCCGCAGAGCGCGGTGTCATCCGCGAAGCACACCAGGTCCACCAGCACCTCGTCCCAAGAGTCTCGGAGGCGAGTGTGCGCTTCACGCGGCATGGGCTTGAGGGCAGCAGGGGGCGCCGGCGGACTGCGCACCGTCACGCCTGTGTGGCCCGCGGCAGTCAGCTGCTGCACGGCATCTCGCAACACCACGTCGTGGAAGTAGAGGTAGACGACGCAGCTCGACGGGCAGCCCTCCCGGAGGCCCTTGTACAAGTGGTACGGCTCCGAGAGACCCTGCTGATTGCGGCAGCGGTACTCCGTGTCCGAGCGGACGTGCGTCAGGAGGGTGACCACGTGCTCGGGGACGCCCCGATGGCGCAGCACCTGCCACGCGGCATTCCGAGGCACCGAAGGGCATGCCTTGCGGATGTCCAGCAGCGAGAACACGAGGTGCTCCATGTCCTCTGGCGTCTTGGCCTTCGTGGCGCCCTCGACGAGAAGCCGGGCCAAGAGGATGGCGTCGCGCGTGCTCCTCCATGGGCGGAAGCCCCACTGATCAGCTCGAAACACTCCGTGTCGTTCCGCGTGCGTCATAAGTCGAATGCTGATGGTTCTGGCCACGACGCGCGAGATGATGGACAAGAGGCAGATCCCCCTATAATTGTCGAGGCGCGCCCTGTCCCCCTTCTCGAAGAGGGCGAGAACGATGGCTCGGTGGGCTTCGGGCTCCCACGCCTCGGGCTGCCTCCACGCGCGCCGAACCAGCGCGAAGAGGGCCTGCTGGAACTCAGGGGACGACAGGCGCAGCATGTTGATGGTGACCCCGTCTTCCCCCGCCGCCGACTCCCGCATCTTCCGCCAAGCCGCCTGGATCTCGGCATCGCTCGGTGTAGTAGCCAAGGAAGCCACTCGTGGGATCGCTGTCGCCATCAAGCATCCTGTTTCAACACCATAGTCGATCACCACAGACTACTGCTTGCTCCCCAGTGGCGGCGAATTGCGCCGCGCCAGCTGCTCAGGGGCGTGGGAGATGCGGACCGTGGACGCCCGCCCTCGTCGAGCGAGCCTTTTAGGACTTGTCGGGGCCGTATTAGGGCCCCCTTGTGCGTCCTGGGAACCCGGAAATCATGTTCCGATAGAGGCTTCGGGGGACATGATTTCGGACGCTGCGGAAGAGGCCTCCCAAAAATCCCTAAAGGCAGCTCTGCTTGCCCCCGTTGTGGCCCTGTTGGGTGCCTTTTGGGGCTCTCTTGGGCTGGCTTGTAGGTCTCATGGGTCATCTTGGGTCCCTCTTGGGCCGTCTTGGGGCCCCTCGGGGTGGCACTGCGAAGACGTCGTCGTCGCGGCCGTTCGCCGATCGGCGGCGTCAACTGTTGTCACCGTCGCCCATCGTCGTCGTCGTCGTCGGTCGTCGCCGTCGACGACCGTCGTCGTCACCGTCAATCACCGTCGCCGATCACCGTCGCCGATCGTCGATCGGCCCCGAGCCCTCCCGCCCACACCTCCTCCTCTCCTCCTCCTCCTCCTCTTCCTCCTCCCTCTCTCCTTCCCTCAACCACCTCCTCCTCCTCCTCTCACTCCACCTCCTTTTCCTTTTTCCTCCTCCTCTCCTCCTCCTCCTCCTCCTCTCCTCCTCCTCCTCCTCCTAATATCCTCCTCTTCTCTCTTTTCCCCGCTCCTCCTCGCTCCTCCCTCCTCCTCTCCCCCCCGCCCTCCTGAAATCATGTTCCCGGAGACGCTTCCGGGGACAGGATTTCGAACGATGCAGAAAAGACTGGGTCCAGGGTGGCTCTGCGCACGCGGACAGCGTCGCCGCCGTCGGAGCGGCCGTCGTCGTCGTCGCCGTCGATCGTCGATCGGCGACGTCGACTGTTGTCATCGTCGTCTATCGTCGTCGTCGTCGGTCGTCGACCGTCGTCGTCGTCGTCGTCGTCGTCGTCGTCGTCGTCGTCGTCGTCAATCACCGTCGCCGCCCTCGTCGATCGCCCTCGAGCCTCCTCCTCTCTCCCCCCCTCCTCCCCTCCACTCCTCCTCCCCGCCTCCTCCTCCTTTTCCTTTTCCTCCTCCTCCTCCTCCTCCTCCTCCTCCTCCTTCGCCCTCTCCGTCTCCTCTGGCGGAACCAACAACATTTCGGCAAATCATGTTCCCGGAGAGGCTTCTGGGAACAGAAAATCATGATTTCGAAAGAGGCCCTCTTGGGCCTCCCTGAGGCCGTGTTGGGAGCCTCCTGGGCCAACTTTGGGGCCTCTTGGGCCGTCTTGGGGGTTCCGTGAGCCTCACAGGACGACCCTTTTGGGCCGTCTTGGGCCCTCTTGGGTCTCTCTTGGGCTGTCTTGGGGCTCGGGGGCGTCTGGGGCACTGTGAGGACCAAGCAAGCAAATATGCTGAAAACGTACGTTGTACAACGGGAGTGGGCCGATTTTTGCCCCTTGAAGGCCCTCTTCGGCCAGCTTCAAACCATCTCGGGCCCTCTTGAGGCGCTCTTGGACGTCTTGGGGCCCCCTTGGGCCTCGCTGAGGCTGTCGGACAGCGTCGCCGCCGCCGGCGTGGCCGTCGTCGTCTTCGCCGTCGATCATCGATCGGCGGCGTCGACGGTTGTCATCGTCGTCGATCGTCATCGGTCGTCGTCGTGGTCGTCGTCGTCGTGAATCACCGTCGCCGTTCGTCGTCGTCGTCGTCGTCGTCATCGTCGTGAACCACCGTCGCCGACCGTCGATCGCCCTCGAACCTCCTCCTCCTCTCTCCCCCCTCCTCCCCTCTACTCCTCCTCCCCGCCTCGTCCTTTCCTCCTCCTCCTCCTCCTCCTCCTCCTCCTCCTCCTCCTCCTCCTTCGCCCTCTCCGTCTCCTCCGCGCGGAAGAAATCCAACAACATCTCGCGAAAATCAGCGAACTGTGGCCCTCTGGGAATTTTTGAATGTCGCTTTAAGCCCTTTTGGGGCTGTCCTGGGGCCCTCTTGGGCGCCCTGGGAACCCGGAAATCATGTTCCTGGAGAGGCTTCTGGGAACATGATTTCGAACGAGGCCCTCTTGGGCCTCCCTAAGGCCGTCTTGGGGGCCTCCTGGGCCGGCTTTGGGGCCTTTTGGGCCGTCTTGGGCTGTCTTGGGGCTCCTCGGGGGCCACTCTAAGGACGAAGCAAGCGAGTATGCTGAAATTGTTCGATTTACCGGAGGAAGGGGTAAAGTGTTGCCTCTTGAAGGCCCTCTTGGGGCCCTCTTCGGCCATCTTCAAGCCATCTCGGGCCCTCTTGGGGCGCTCTTGGACGTCTTGGGGCCCTCTGGGGCCTCGATGAGGCTGTCTTGTGCGCCTCTTGGGCTGTCACGCGGGCAGCGTCGCCGCCGTCGGCGTGGCCGTCGTCGTCGCCGTCGATCGTCGATCGGCGGCGTCGACTGTTGTCATCGTCGTCGATCGTCGTCGTCGTCGGTCGTCGACCGTCGTCGATCGTCGTCGTCGTCGTCATCGTCGTCGTCGTCGTCGTCGTCAATCACCGTCGCCGGTCGTCGTCGCCGATCGTCGATCGCCCTCGAGCCTCCTCCTCTCTCCCCCCCTCCTCCCCTCCACTCCTCCTCCCTGCCTCCTCCTCCTCCTCCTCCTCTTCCTCCTCCTCCTCTTCCTCCTCCTCCTCCTCCTCTTCCTCCTCCTTCGCCCTCTCCGTCTCCTCTGCGCGGAAGAAATCCAACAACATCTAACGCAAATCAACGAACTGTGGCCATCCGGGCCTTTTTGAAGGTCCTTTTGAAGCCCTTTTGGGGTTGTCCTGGGGCCCTCTTGGGCGTCCTGGGAACCCGGAAATCATGTTCCCGGAGAGGCTTCCGGGAACATGATTTCGAACGAGGCCCTCTTGGGCCTTCCTGAGGCCGTCTTGGGGGCCTCCTGGGCCGGCTTTGGGGCCTCTTGGGCCGTCTTGGGGGGTTCCGTGAGCCTCACAGGACGACCCGTTAGGGCCGTCGTGGGCTCTCTTGGGTCACTCTTGGGCTGTCTTGGGGCTCGGGGGCGTCTGGGGCCCTGTGAGGACCAAGCAAACGAGTATGCTGATAATGTATGCTTTACGAATGGAAATAGGCTGGCGTTTGCCTCTTGAAGACCCTCTTGGGGCCCTCTTCGGCCATCTTCAAGCCATCGAACGAGGCCCTCTTGGGCCTTCCTGAGGCCGTCTTGGGGGCCTCCTGCCGGCTTTGGGGCCTCTTGAGCCTCACAGGACGACCCGTCCGTCGTGGGGGGTCCTCTTGGGCTGTCTTGGGGCTCGGGGGCGTCTGGGGCTGTGAGGACCAAGCAAACGAGTATGCTCTTTACGAATGGAAATAGTCTTTGCCTCTTGAAGACCCTCTTGGGGCCCTCTTCGGCCATCTTCAAGCCATCTCGGGCCCTGTTGGGGCGCTCTTGAGCGTCTTGGGGCCGGGCCTCGCTGAGGCTGTCTTGTGCTCTTGGGCTGTCTTTGGGGCCTCATGGGCCGTCTTGGGCGGGTTCGTGGACCCCACAGGACGCCCGGGGCGGCCATGCCAACCGGTGGCACCACCCCACCCCCGCCCCCGGGCCCCGTCCGTCTGTCCTACTGCTCCTCTCCAAACCCTCGTTCCCTAACCTCCCGATCATGTTCCCGGACCCCCGTCCCTTCCCCCCAGAGCACCGCAGCAGTAGGAAAGCGTTCCGAAACGGTGAGAAATCATGTTCCCGGAAAGCGTTCAAGAATATGAATCGTACGTCGTCCAAGGCGCCTCGGAAGGCGCAGAATACTCCTCCAAGGCGCAGAATCATGTTCCCGGACCGCCTTCCGGGAACATGATGGGGACGACCTCCTGAGGGCCTCCAGTGGGCCTGTTTGGGGCCTTTCGGAGGCTTGTGGGGCTCTCCTGGAGGCGTCTTGGGGCGCGCTCAGGGCCATTTTTGGGCATCTTGGGGGCCTCTGGGTGCCTTCGGGGAGGCTCTTGGGTGCCTCTTTGGGGCCTCTTGGGGCCTCTTGGGGCCCTCATGGGGACCGCTGGGCTCGCTCCTGGTGGGGCACTCCTGGAACCGTCTTGGGCGGCTCCTGAGCCATCTTGGGGCTCTCCTGGGCCGTCTTGGGAAGATTTTGGGGGTCTCTTGGGCCGTCTTGGGGCGGTCTTGGGGGCCTCTTCGGCCGTCTTGGAGCGGTTTTGGGAGACTCTTTGACGGCCTTGGAGCGTCGGAACCCCGAAAAAGCGAGAAGACCAAAAACCTGAAAAAAAAAACATTCAAAATCAACGATGTTGGCTTGTCGGGGCTCTCTTGGGAGGCCTCTTGGGATGCCTTCGGGGCCTCATGGAGCTCTCTTGGAACGTCTTCGGGCCTTCCTGGCCATTCCTGAGGCTATCTATGCGCGTCTTGGAGCGTTCGCGGGCCGTCTTGGGCGGTCTCGAACTGTTCCTGGCGGTCCCAGGGGCCCTCCGGGACGCTTCGGACGCTCCCGGGGGCGCCCTGCACACCTCATGGAGATGACAGGCACCGCCCCGGGGCCCTACTCCGATATATATATATATATATATATATATATATATATCGAGAGAGAGAGAGAGAGAGAGAGAGAGAGAGAGAGAAAAAACAACCAACAAGAGGAACGACATAACACACATAGAGAAAGAGAGGTAATTCAAGAACCACACATAGAGAAATAGAGAGAGAGAGAAAGATAAATATCTCTATATATATATATATATATATATATATATAAAAATATAGAGAGAGGGAGCGAAAAAGGGCAAAGAGAGATATAGAAAGAGAGAGAGAGAGAGGGAGGGACCACAAGAAAGACAGGGATAACAAGAGCGAGGCAGAGAGATATGAATACAAAACAAAGAGAGAGAGGAAGGGATAAAGAGAGAGAGAGAGAGAGAGAAAAAAAAAAGAGACCGAGAGAGCAAGAGACATAGAGAACACAATAAAGGGGCATGGATATAAGAGAGAGAGAGAGAGAGAGAGAGAAACACAATGAGAGAGAGAGAGAGAGAGAGACAAATAGAGAGAAAGAGAGAGAGAGAGAGAGATAATGAGAGAGAGAGAAAGAGAAAGAGAACAAAAAAAACAAGAGAGAAAGAGCGAGAGAGAGAGAGAGATAAAGAGAGAGAGAGAGAGAGAGAGAGAGAACGAGAGGGAAACCATCAGAAAACGGATAGAGAGAAAGAGAGAGAGAAAGAGAGAGAGAGAGAGAGAACAAACAAACAACCAAACAAAAAACGCGGGAGGGAGGCGAGAGAGAGAGAGAAAACAAAGAGAAAGAGAGAGAGAGAGAGAGAGAGAGAGCGCAAGAAAAAGGGAAGGAGGGCGGGGGTGAGGGAGAGGGAGAGAGAGAGAGAGAGAGAGAGAGAGAGAGAGAGGGAAAGGGAAATAGAGAGAGAGAGGGAAAGGGAGAGAGAAACACACGCAACGAACACGACACGAAGTAGGAGGGAGGAAGAGAGGGGTTAGGGGAGCGAACGCGGGAGGGAACGCGAACGGGAGGGCGGGAGGAGACGGAGCAGCACAGGAGGGATGCGCCGACGAGGCGCGCGCGCGCGCGGGCGCCCGCCGCGGAGGCCCCTCGGCCGCGCCCCCCCCCTTT